GGTAAACAGTTCGAAAAACCGGAAGGACTGCTACGCGTTCAAATTCCCGCCGGACATCTGTCACAAATGCTGGCGACGGGAACGCTTCCACTTGGTTCACGGAGTGCCGTCACTAGAAACTCTTTTTGACCTTTTGACTTATTGCATTAACATCTCACACTTCTACTGCATCCTATTCTATCGATCGTTTGTCTCTACTCTCCAAAATCGCACGCTTTAACCCGATTCTTTCATTGCGTCGCCTGATACGTAGCCGCCCCAAGGCGCACTTCTTTCCATGCCCCGCCTTTGGCTCCGCGCGACCTACCTTCGTGCGGTTTTGTAAGTTTGTTTCTCTTCAGAAAATGAATCTTCCTGCGTGAAACTTTGCCTTTAGTGATCACAACTGACATACTCATGTTGGAAAAGATTGCGAAAATTTTCCGGGAAGGATTCCTTTAATATGTGGCCATATTTTACGTAGTTCAATTTCGTATGTGCTACTTGAATAGTGAAACTTCGAGCTTTCTCACAGCTTGCTTCTAATCGTCATGAAATTGATGCTTCTGAGAGAAGTAGACTTCTGGTCAAAACAGCAAGAACTCTTCTATTCTCCTTTTGAACCCCTCTTTTCGCCTTCTTGAAATATAAATTTGTCCCTTTTCTCATGCACTTTGAATACTGAAAGGCGCGTTCCTCGACTGAGTAGGTAGGGCTTACTGCGCTCGAAAATGAACGGATAGCAATAACCTTTTGAAATTTGCAAACCTTCTAGTTCACAACATCCACTCTCTTCCTAAAACTATGCTTCGGAAGGTGGTTATACAGAAAGAGTCTCAAATCTCTGCTATTCTCCTTTCTTATTGTTACTAGATCGAGCATTACTGCTTATTTTGACGAATTAACTCAGTGACAAATCGAGAAGATAGGCTTCTTCTTTAGTATTCGAAGGCACAGTCCCGGCTAAAGTTAGTGTTCATCCATAATGAAAGATGGAGATGCAGAGTGGGCAGAAAGTAAGAAAGAAAGCCAAAGAAGCAATGAGAATTCCAAGGATGAAGCTTGAACTTGCTCTAATTTCCTGGGCCATAACTTATCTTGTTACCTGCCTCCTGTATTCCTCCACATCTTCGAACAACAAGGCTCATATTTTCATTGTTGCTGTCGAATTTTTTTTGGCGACGGTCCACTTTTCATCCTATTTTCATTTTTCAGAAGAATTACTAGATCAACTTCATCATGGAGTGTGACTTTAAAACTTGCCAATTAAAGGCACGAGTCGGGATTGAATTGATGCGTTATTTTGTTCAAACATTAGGCAAGGGGTGCAATGAGGAACATTAGTGAGGAGAAAAAGCAAAAAGCACCATAGAAAACACTAAATTTCCCTTAGGAGGCCGGCCGTAGTACGACGGAGAGACAAAGCGCTGCGAGGAGAGGGAGAGCGCGAGATAGCACGTCGTACGCGAGAGGACGCAGAGACCAC